TTTGCTTTAGTTTTTCTTTTTCTTAAAATTCATTCTATAATATTATTTTATATTACACACACACAAATGGCTTGCAAGCGGTTCGATGATGAGTTACAACAAAAAATATTTAAGCTCGAGTTCGGCACGAAATCGAATTTGATCGATCTCAAATCAAACTTTGACCGAGTTGCTTGCAACCAGCTTACGAGCAACTTGATTAGTTTGCACCCTTAGCTATAACATTTGACTAGTGATAAACACTTAATCTAACAATTAGTATTAGAGTAGGATATGAGTTCGAATTGAATCCCATGCTATATATGTAGTTGAGACTGACAGGTGCTGGGAGGGAATTGTTAGGCGAAGACTTGAAAGGTCAAATTCAGTATCAAACATGGGGCTAATTACTAGGCAAGTATAAGAAAATAAAGTTGTACATTCACTATTAGTTATTGATAATACATATATGCCTAATAGGGTTTTTTGACAGACGACCGAGACAGACCGCACTGGTTGCTTACTAGGCAGGATTGCATCACTTCTGAGACTGCCCGACCACCCCATCGGGATATCTCCTTTAAGACCGGAAAATCAAATTACTTCTTTACCCATTTGACCGAGCATAATGCCCCAGGCACACTGTCTTATCACATCACATCAACCTTTTTCGTTGTGATCAAACACGTAGCATCGCCTCTTTGACCGACCAACCTGCATCTGTCACGTGGAGAACATGTCGTTCCTTCGGCATGTGTCTCATCGCTTGCCTATATAAGGCACAATTATTACTGATGAGGGGGGCTTTTCACATACACCTTTAATTTTACTTAGAGACACTCAACCTCACTCTTATACTTAACATTTCTGGTCTAAAGTAGTTCGCCTTGACTCTAAGATACAAAGATTAGACGCATTATTAGTTATAACTAATTTTTGAATTATAGTGGTATATCAAAATTTTCTCTTCAATTATAGATGTCTTGAGCAGATCCTAACTGTAGGAGATAACTTTAAGCCCGTTTGTACTGGGTCAGCTATATTAAGGGACAACATGCTGGCCAGGTTGATTTTTACATACGAGAGGGGTTCGAACTCACAACCTCTCTTAAAGGATGAGAGTGCACCGCTACTCACGCTAACCAAGTTGATTAATTTAATTTTATTTATATAGTAATAAATATAGTGCATTTTGACCTCGTTACTTTTTTTTTTTTTCTTTTTAATATCACAATATTATATTAAAAAATGTTACAAGTTGATTAATTCTTGTCACCCAGCAGTTTTGCAATATATATAGGGAGTAATACAACGTCAAAAAATTAAATTAAATTAAATCAATAATATTAAAAAGAACAAGTTGCTAATTATCTTACAGTTGACAACTAGCCAGCTAGCTACTTCCAAATTAAACACGGCATATTTGCATGCACATGGTAGGCGTTACTGTTTATACTTTATAGAAAGCTTCATTGAGATTGATCCCCTCATGAGGTCATCAACTACAAACTATTCTAAATTAAACTATTCATTTGATTTATGAAAAAAAGTTCATAATGGATATTTGATTTAAGAAAAAAAATTCATAATCAATATTTAAAACTGCGCTCTGAATGAATCTTGTCGTGTAACTTTAATCAGTAAAAGATCACGATAAGAAACTAACTTAAATTGTCCGACTAGTTCAAACCAAGAAAATCAAAATACAGCTCCCACAGACGGTCGAATTTGAAATTTTGTGATTACCAAACCAAGTAACCAACTGTCAGACTTACTATTCTAAACCATTCCAACTTAAGGTAATCGGACTATATTATATCACAATACACAATTAATAATGTAATTTCCTCATAATAAAATAGAACTCTGATACAAAATAAAAAGATATTTTACGTCTATTCCAACTAAAAATTTAAACAAATACTTGCACTATATATTAAAGGAATAATATATATAGCAACAATTTCAATTTTGTCATAATTTGTGAACCACAATTTGCATTGTGTTGTGTGCTCTGACTGGAACGGAGGAATTGAAATACAAGTGGAATTTGTCATTCTCTGATTATTGATTATAATAATTAAAAATAAAAATAAACCGAAAACGACGTCGCCGTAAGTTGTTCACAGAATCACAGCCAATCTTTTTTCCACGTTGTTTTCATGGTCCTGTAAATTGTAGCCCCACTTTTCTGTCTTTTTTGTACATTGTTCATACACCCAATTCAACCCATGAAAAAGGCAATTATATATAGTAAAAATGTTTTAAAAATAAAGATAAAAATTCCTGCTGGACCACTGATATATGCTTGTATATATATAGCCCGGAAGTGAGGATGATAGATCTCCATCATTTTCATTTTGTATGTATATATATGATCTAAATTTATAAATAAAATGTTAATTAAACTCATTTAAAAGAGATGCAAGACTTTGGATAATGCATAGAATCTTAATGTATATTAATTAAAAGACAAATTTCTAATTCTATAGTAGGTGAAATTAGAAATACTTAATTTGTCGTTGAAAATTTATTATTCCCAAAAAGTATTCACCAGAATAATTAAACAACCTACGAGAATGGTCTATCTTAATTAGGACATGTAAATTATAAAAACAAATGATATGACTTTAAATAATGGTGTATAATCATCGAATTATAACCTTAATAACTTATTTCTTATCAATTCTCACATGAACTTATTGACATAATATAATGGAATAAGGTTCACATTGGTCACTGAACGTAACTTGAAAGTGTAATTAGGCCACTAAACATAACCTGAAAGTGTAATTAGGTCACTGAACGAAAAAAAGTACAATTAGATCACTAAACACCACAAATATATGCAATTTCACCTGATAACAGGTTACCATTCATTTCATTAATTAGATTGTCTACTCAAGAATCATTTCATTAGGTTGTCACCATTCATGTATAAGAATGAAATTTGATGAAATGGATTATAACCAGGTGAAATTGCATACATTTAGGATGTTTAAGTAGTTTACACTTTTTTTTTTTTTTTTTTTTTTGTCGTGATCTAATTATACTTTCTTACTGTGGCCAATTTTGATCTTATTCCTAAATTAATTAATCATAACAAATTTATTATCGTGATCTAATGTGCTTATGTGCATGGTATGATTAAACAACAAAAACTGATCCTCCGATATATCCGATCAAGTCATGGCATATCAATATTATACAGATAAAATCCGATGTATATATCACCATTCTTATCCTTGAATAAGTATATATGTATTGGTAGGGAGGAAAGGGGAAAGAATCAAGAAATTGAAGTCAAAATAAAATGAAAGAATCTATCCAACTATTTAGAGCAAGCAGCAAAGCAAAATGTTGTGACTTATCTCTGAAGAAAGCAGAAACGTATAATCAATATATTCTTCTGAATATTATATATATCTGGTCTACACAGTTCAAATACTCCATTTTTAGTAATTTAACAATTATTTAATTCCTAAATCTGCAAGTTGATGCTCTATTAAATAATCTGGTCTCCCTCCTAACTATAACTAATGACTTCTTGATAGTGATGTACACATTTTTATTTTCATTTTAAGAATAATTAATATGATTTTTGTCAAATCTTATATTAATCTTTTTGTTTTATTTTTTATTTATTTGATATTTTTATTTACTGATCGAATTAATTATATTCTCTTTTTTTTTTTGTTTACATATTTTCTTTAACATTTACTTATAATTTTGAAATTCAATTTTTTTGTGCTTTAATAATATTTTTAATATAATTTTTATAAATACATATGTCATATACTAATATTAAATTAAATATTATCCCAAAAAAATGAATTGTAATTTAATTTAAATTCAAATTTAACTGAACTCGAATTAAATGTTGACCAAACGACTCTCGAATTGCTCGACTTGTTTGCACCCTTATGCGTCACACTGCACTAGGAAGTAGATGGACAATAGGGACAGACACACACACATATATAATATTCAAATCTTACCTCATGGATTACTTCTCATAATTGTTTTTAACAAATAAAATATGTTTTCAGTCATTATTAAGAGAAAAGGGAAATTAAAGACAAACAAAACAAAATAAAATAAAACCAAACGTCATCAAACAACCATTAGAATTTAAGTAATATATAATTTTTAAAGTATATCCCAAGTTAAATACAAATTAGCAAAGTGGTACAAGTTGTATTAGTGCTTCACCACATCAGTGCAGCATTTTATAAGGGAAATTTTTGGCTTCATATATTATTGTATGTAAAGTCAACCGGTTTAACTACTCAACATTATTGTTATTATGATGTTTTTTAAATTTTTTGTCATTTTATTCCACACTTAGTACTTCTGGACGAGAATAATGAATTTTATTTTATTTTTAAAAGCAAAGCTAAGAATAATTTAATTAATTTTTTTTTTGAGTTTAAACTATTGCAGTGAAATGAAAACAAAAATAATAAGCCAAAAGAAAAAAATTAGGAATCAAGCCATCAAATGGTCTTCGAGTACTATGATTGATTTAAGTACAATCCTTAAACATAAATACTCCCAACAAACATTATGCCCAAGTTGCAATACTTTAAGTATGATGAAGAAACAATTAGAATATAATTGATTTGTAGAACGGAATATGATATATCAATCTATAAAGTTACAGATATTATTTAATTATTCCGTACTTTATAGCATATATTTTGATTTGATTGATATTTATTTATTTTTGTTGACAATATAAATATGCTATAAATATCCTACTCATTAAGTTTTACTCTTAAGGGATCTATTCTTTCATATCATTTTCCATAGTGAATTTTTATTTATTTATGCCCGTAGCATTTTCAAAGGTTTAGTTAATTATTTAATATTTATTTTTATCCCACAAGTATTATGTCCTAACCGAGTAAGGCTTTTAGAAATATATATGTGGAGCGGCCGGAATGAGGGAATGAGATATTCATAGTTCAGACGTATAATCACTTTTTTTTATAAGTTTTAAATATCTCTCACATAAAGCAACAAGGTTCAAGATGTAAACTTAAAATACAAGAATATGAATGAAATTCTTTAAGTTGCTTTATTTAAGAATTTTGTGTAAAATTACAAGACTGTGAAATATCTCAATATCCTTAGCTTCTTAATCCGTGAATTGAAAGCTAAGCAGTGATTGGAGTGTACGTTTAGTCTTGTTGGACTGCAGTTTCTTCATATTCTGTGAAGTAGGTTTTGCAGGCTTTGTGGGCAGTGAAATTGTCCTCTGCGGCTGGGGCCGAAACTGTCATTGCGCACAACAACTCGATCTCACTTATCACGCTCTGATACCAAATTGAAAAAATGTACGTTTTCAGTCCCAACTAAAAGTTTAAGCTTACCTGTCGTAGATCGCAGGGACTGAAAGGGGGTGATCTGTGAATGTATGATTCAGAGCGCTTGAGTCGAAACCGAAGTGGCGAAACAGACAGCTTCCCTCTGGAATCTTGATAGATAGATAGATGTGTGTATTATTAGTAAAGAATATAATGTCAGTGTTTATGTTCTTACTCATCAATAACAGTATATTATATATTTATATGTTTATGTACATATATATATATATATATATATACCTAATTCTTTGCTAGATGCAGCCCGGGTAAATGTGAATGCAGGAGGATTTGGAGAAGTTTGTGTAAATGTAAGGTTATTCTGCAGCCTTCTCCTGCAACATTTTTTTTTTCACTGTGTTTAGCATGGGCGGCATTGATGAGCTTGAGGCAAATTAAAATGAAACTCATATTCATACTATACCTTGGTAAGGTAGGATGCTCTTTTGTTTTTGTTGCTAGAAAACCTAAGAGGATATATGCAAACAAATGACACAGTGAATCCCAAATCCCAAATCTAAAATGCTAAAATTCAAAAAGTTACGATTAATTTTTTGAGAAATCATTTTGTATATAATCAGCTAACAACTAACAACTAATTTATCAAATTATTTTCTACAATCAGCTAATACTATTAACTAATTAAATCTAGTAATCCAATCACAGCCAACAGCTATCAGCTAATAGCCATTTATCAAACACATCCAAAATCAAAGAAGCCAATCATCGATATAATTTCTCGTCCATAAAGACAATAATAAGCGTGTTTATGCTTGGCCTCGTTGATCTTGTCCACTTGTAGCATATGGATGACCTTCTTCTCTGATCAAACTATAATACTTGAGTGTTCGAAATTCTTCAACCCTGGGAGGTCATCAAGAACTATTTGTGTATCTGCTACTCTAACAAATCTAATTAATTAGTCCTTTAAAAAGAGATATAGCTAACTCCTCTGTTGATAGGCTTAATTGTAACTTTTAAAAGTTCTACATCTAATTGACCTATCATATAAAGTTCATGGAATGTATTTGACATTATTTCCAAAAATTTATAATGTTGGGTTCAATATTTTTGGCAAATTATTATGTTAACACGGGTCTACCTTGTAAGGTGGACCTGGGTCTAAAGAAACACAATTTACATATTAAATATTCATAATTTATCTTTTAAAAATGCATAATTTGTGATGACCATGAATTGTATTCACAAATTCTAAAAACTTAAAAACACAATTTATATTCTAGATGTTCACAATTCCAATACTAAAAAGAGTTCTACTACATAGACTCACAAATCATACTCCCAAAATTTTAGATGTGACGTGCACTAATAAGCTACTTTCTTTCATGTGATCCCAATACAAGTATCTACATCAAAATTTTGTATGTTGGAGTAAAAGTTGGAAGTACATGTAATATTTTCCTACTAAAATTACACAATTTAGAACCAGAATCCACCTGACCCTGGTCCATGGTATAACAACTGAATATTTTTAGTGTTGGTTTGACCCAAGTTATGGCTGGGAGGAGTACCTTGCTGGAGTTGGTGGTGCTGGTTTTGATGCATTTCGTCCCGGCCAGGATAGAGAATTGTCATCATAGGACTTCTCCTGTTTGATTTTCCTAAATCAGACACTGTATCCACATCTGAACCTGAAAACAAGTAAAAAAGAAAAAAACATATTAAGCATTCTGCAGGTAAGAACATTCTTTGAGGTTTTTTTGCAGTCCTAGGAGCTGAGAAATTGAGAATGACAGAAATTGCCTGGATTGATACAATGTTTCAGGTACTTGGGCAAAACAGTGACAAATGATTGTTGTTCAATGCCATTTCGGTCGATGAATTCTTGGCATGATCTTGATCTCTAATGCCCCAAACAAAAAAACAGTCAGCAGAGATCCAATTTAACAATAGCAGAATTGAAGCATGTGTTCCATCTCAACTAAAAGCCTAAACTGATAAGACACTGATACCAAATTGAAGCATATCCTCCATCTCAACTAAAAGCCTAAGCTGATAGTTAGATTGCACGGTTATATGCTCAACAAGCAGAAACCTGTTCTAGATGCATTCTTGAATTCAATATGGTAAAGATCATTTCTTTTCTTTTCCCCCCGGCCTGTTTGGTATTTTCTAATGCACCGTCGTAAAGTTCATGGTTTCATTTCTGCAATGCATATATACCTGTTCAACGCAAGAGAATCGAAGTTCTGTTGCAGAAAATTCACCAACTTTTTCATCCAAGAAAGTGTCAAGTTTAGCAGCTATAGAACCAAGGTGATCCACTGTGTTAATCACAGCTTTGCTCACATAAACTTTCATGGTATCCACCAATCTAACCACATATATTCAAAAACAAAAAAAAAGAACTAAGAAAATTTGAAATGAAAATCAACAACTTCATAAGCCCAAAACATTCTCATTTACTCTTGTTTGTGCTCATCTTTGCCATAAGACACTTCAAAATATTCTGCAGCCGAGTAAAACTGTTTCCTCAGATTCTTCAAATCCTAAGTACCAACATAAGATTCATGTTATTAACATAGTACCATCAAACTCCAAAAAAAAATAAAAATCATACAGAACAATATAGACACACCTTCAAACTGTCAGTAATGTTTGTTCTGTGTTGCATAAGGATTTCATCATAGTTGTTTCTTTCTTGATGAGCTAATTCAGTCCCCATGAAGTTGGAGTAGTCTCAAACCTGATTTTTGGTGAAAATGGAAGAGGGTAAAGCTTATGAAATATAAGAAATGCCTGGAGTTTAAATAAGATAAATGTTGCACTATGAGATGGAAAATGTATGAAAACTTTCATACAAAATTAATGAACTTAAAGTTGGTAGAAAATGGGTGTTTATGACTTTAGGGAGGGGGTGTTGGATAGATCTGTCATATTTAGGAGTTGCAAGCTGGTTATGTACTTGGGTAATGATATTATGGCACGGGAACTCTGGTCGAACGTAAGTCGAGTTCGAACATATCTAAGTATAAATCAGTCAAGTTCAGCTCGTTAAAGATAAATGTATAAAATAAAATGTATCGAAATTTGGTATGGAAGTAGGCAAAATGTGCCACTATTAGCTTAGCTTACATTGTGTTATGTATTGGTGTTTGCAGTTACTTTGGACTAGGGATGGATTATGAATGCTGTGGGACTCTTCTTTAATGTGATGGGCTACAAAAGGTCAAAGGTTGTACCAATGGCAACTATTGTATCTCTAACTAACAATAATACATCTAACCCACCAACATAAGGTATAAGTATGGAAAAAGGGACCTCGGGCATAGCTCGAGGCATAACTCAGTGGTTGAAAGGTTGAGTGTGAGTATAGTGATTTATCAAATACCTGGGAAAGGATCTTAGCCTTGGGGCACAAAACAAACCTTATCTATTGAATACTTTATCTTAGTTCATTTAGGGGGTGTATTCAATATATATATAATCTCAATGGGACGCACACTAAGTGGTAGGGGACTGGCCAAATGGTTTGCTCCATTCACATGGGTGGGGATTGAACCCACAACCTCATGCTTAAGGAGGTGCTGAACCACTACGCCAACCATGTTGGTTATATTCAATACTTTTATAGACTTCAAAAATATTTAATTCCATTTTTGGTCATAGATTTATATGTGGCAGTTCACTTTTAGTCATTTTTTTTATTAGAACATCCCCATTTAGTCCTAATATTATTGTGAAATGGCCATTTTTAGTCCTTCTTCAACAAAACCGTTGAAATGTCGTTAAATACAAAGACATTTCAATTTTTTTTTTATACAAAGTATGTTGAACCGCTATATTTTTTATGTTTATTTTTTCAAAAAAATCCATAATTAAAGACCGAAATGCCATTGTATTTAACAATATTTAAACTATTTTGTTGATAAAGGACAAAAAATTGTCATGTCATAATAATACTAGGACCAAAAGTGGATGTTCTAATAAAAAATGACTTAAAGTGGATTGCCACCTATAAATCTAGAACCAAAAATAAAATTAACTCCTTTCAAAAAGTTCTAAATTGATGGATTTTAAATGATTTTCATAAATTTTTATATACTCTTTACTTTCCTAGAATTTGTTAGATTTTCATTAATTTTGTAGCAATCTAAGTATGTAAACAATTGATAGATACCCAACATGAGAACTCAGTCGGACTACCTAGCAAGTAGCAACGAACCAGGACGTGACTAAACCAATCGATTTTTGGCTCACTAAGCTAAAATACCTAATCCCTCTTCATAATCCCTAAAATAAATACTCTTTACTACCCCACTATTACCCATTAATCACCCACTAACCACCAATTAAATTAGTCATTATTTTCCTATATTAAGCACCCATTAAAAACCCACTAACCCCAAATTTATTACCCCTTAAATTACCACTAACCACCTATTTACTACCCTATTAACCACCCATAAATACCCACTACCTGGCCTATTAGCATCCTTATCAGTTGAGGTTATTTCTCAATTATTTGTGTGTTCCAGCATCCACTTTATCCTCCACCTCATCCTCCACCATCTCATTCAATCACAAAAAAAAACCCTTCTCCACATCAGTTTTGAGTTATTTCTTAGTTTTTATGGACCCACCATTTAACTCACTATATTTTAATTATTTCTCTTACCTACGGGGTCCACAAATATACCATACTTTGCAGGAGAAATATTTTTGAAATAACTCCTCCCCATATCAGCTATTAACTTTTGTGGTGGGGGAGAGGGGGGGGGGGGGAGGGGGAGGGGGGGGAGAGTGGGGAGAATTCATGTAGAAATAACTCCTAAATAACTACTAATATGGATGCTCTTATACCAAAAAGCCAAAGCCAAGAAGCAAGAAGGGGGCTCCAATTTTTTTTTCCCACAAGAAAGCTCCATCTCTACGTATGAAATAGCAAAACCACATGTACAAATCACCTACAAAACTAGTGAATTCTTGGTCTGGCGTTGCCCAAAAAGGCCTGTGGTTCTTCATTTCGATTTCCAAGTAAAAATATTGTGTCTCTTTCTTGTTTCTTTTTATTATCTCCAATTCATACACTTAAATCGGTTGTGTTGGATCCTCGGTAGACCATCCAAGAGTCTCAAAACCAACAACAACATTTATAAACTTTAAAAAAAAAAATTCATATTAAAAAATCTACAAATGTCATTAAAACTCTAAATTGAATACATCTTACAAATATTTTAATTATTTATATTAATACATTATTTATAATTTGTTACAAAAACTTTTATAATATATAAGATATTTTATGTATGTATAACACTCATAATTGTTAACAATTATATATACATACACACGATGAAACATGTAGTGAATAGAAGAAAAATAAAAATGATATAAAATCTCGAACTCCTTGAAGAGAATCAATGAAGGTAGGGGTTAAGTTTTCCCATTCCCCCTTCAACCATGGGTTTTATTCCCACTCCTATACCTCAACATTTAGATTTTTTTTTTTAAAATATATTAAATTTTTACGCTAGACTAATTCTAAGCCATTCACACTTCTGTCAACTTGGGGAGCCTAATCTCCAATCTAAGGAGCCCAAGAGCCACCAAAAGATTAAAATTGCATAATTCTATTCCATTACCAATAAAAAGTAAGTTTAAGTACTTTTAGCAGGCAAATAATACTTCTTTCGAAATTTGCATAATCTAAATTGTAAATATTGAATTGTACGCTTAAAAATATATATTGAATTATACTAATTATATATTTTTGTATTCAACCCTGTCTTCACTCCACAATACATAAGAAAATAAAAGCTGAAATATCATCAAATCAGGGTGTTATGAGATGGGGAAGAAGCAGACAATGCAGAAGGCTTCACCATTACAAACATCTCAAGACAAATGATTTATAGCTTGAAGGGCAAGGGAATGGGAAAGACAGAATTATGCAAAGAGAATTCCATCAAACAAGCTATTCACTTTGAACAAAAGTGTCCATTTTCAATTTAAACCCCCCAAAAAACACAATAAATGTGCACAACTGGTCCCGGGGGCATTCCCCTTGTCATAACGTAATCGAGAGTAGAAATAAAGGTGAGCAGTCTATCCTCAGATAATACGCTCCAACTCCCTGGCATAACTCAGTGTTTGGTTAATAAGTTGCAGAGATGGTATCTCTTTGCAAGGAGCGGAATCTTTTACTTTCTGGAAGATAACAAGTCCGTCTTTTATCTCCCACTCGGGGTGTTCCTGCAAAAGGTAAATGTAGAAATTGATTCAACGATCAATTGGATGTAAATACAGAACATAAGGGAGTGTCCATCAACCGGTACGGAACTTATGATTAAGTGAAAATAAAGAATAATGGAGATAAGTATACCTCCTCGACATATCCAAGGAGTTCTTTGTCTGAGGAGAAAAGTAACATTTGCCGGGCATCACCTATTGAAAGAGAATCGTAAGCCTTTTCACTGCAGCCAGCTATCTCATCCCTAACCAATGACAGCCAAACTTTTTAAAGCGAAAAAGCGCACCAAAGCGATGAGCTTGGGCTTTGCTTTAAAGCGAAAGTGCAAAGCGAAGCGTCGCTTTTTCACATAAAGCAATGCTTACTAAAAAAATTAATATATATTCAAAATACTCAAATACTAATGCAAAATAACATAAATACAAAGTTTAGTCATCAAAATAATGTCATTCAAGTTATTTAGTTATTCAAAAATCACATATTCAACAATCAATAATTCAATAATAAAGGCATAAATTTTAATTGAATTAAATGTAAATTGAAATTTTAGATTTTAATTATAGAAATTTCAAAACATAATTTAATACAAAAAAATGAAAAAAAAAAAAAAAAAAAAAAAAAAAAAAAGAAGCACAAAACGTGTACGGTGAAGGGTAAACAATCACTGCCAAGTGTCCAACCAAAGCTCCAACTCTATTCCTATTTAACATTTTAACCTCAGACCAATCGTCTTCTTCAAATCTTCAACGACGTAAGTCGTAAGAAGAGAAAGGAGAAAAAAAAAAAACAGAGTGAGAAGCATGGGCGATTAACCTCGGGGTTTTGAGTTCAGCTATCAGGGAGGAGGTGGTGGCGAGGCAGCAGCGAAGCAGCGATGATGATGGTCGAGGGAAATTGGCAGAAAGTAGCGACAGACGGAGAGGGTGAGCAGAGAAGAGCAGAGAACGGAGGTCTGAAGTTTTTTTCGCGACTTAGGGTTAGGTTAGAATTTTTGTTTGTTTGTTGTTTTGACCGTTGACTTGCGCTCTACATGGTAAAGCCTCGCTTTTCGCCGCTTCATCGCTTCGTCACCTCGCCGGAAAAGCGTGCTCAGGCGCACGCTTTCCCACACAGCTGCGCCTTGCTGAAGCGGAGCGACAAGGTGTCGCTCGCCTCGCTTTTGCGCTTTAAGCGCAGAAGCGAGCGCTTTTAATAAGTTTGATGACAGCCATATTAGACATATATAAATAAAGTAATAGTGCATGTTGTATAAATAGATATACTCTGACCATTATGAACATCCTTAATTAGGAGTAGAGTCCCTTCAAGGGATTTCTTATTATGTATTACAAATTGGTTTACGGAAGATACACTGTATTTACACAGAAATATGCATTTGAAAGAAAGAACACAGTTGGCGTAAAAAGTGGCAAAGTGCTAAGAGAGATTTCATTCAATCATTCCAAAAATGCAAACGAAGAATCAAGGGTAGTACCTGTGCATACTACAGCTACATCTATAGATATATTACTTGTGCTAGATAATTTCAATAGTTCAGGAATGCATAGAGATTACCTCACAGTCTTGGCGAGAAGATCCATGAAATAAGCATAGGTTTCATGGGGCACTGCCTGTCTGGCACTTAAGACACGGTTGTAAGCTCCTTCCATAAATGATTGCTCCAGCTCAACAGCATGCTTAATACAAGGATTCTCCAAGGCATTTGGAGAAAGCAACTCCAATTCGGTGTGAAATTCAGCAATTCTATTCTGCACAAGTAGTCTCAGAAGATTGAGACCTAAAATTGGGTATTCCTGTGGGGATGGTGGAAGACGGTTGCTGCTCCATCACAAAAACAAAATGGCATATATCACAGTTAATTTAAATGACAAGAAACTACAAAAAGGAATCAATAGTCATGACTACAAAGCCTCTAGAAGAAGTTTGGTAAAGGGACAATACTTCCAACTAAATTATGGTTGCAGTAAAGGGTAGAACCATGGATTTAAAAATTAAAATAAAAATAACTCCTAATTCCCATCTGAATCTAATTTCCATCTTTCCAACTGATTTGACAAAGTTACGGGCTGCATGGATATTAAATACAAAATTGGGATGCCAATAATACTATAATAGTTACCGTGCATCTGTGTAATAAGGTTTCAGCTGAAAGAAATCTCTCTCAAAGGCATCTTGATCCTCCATCTTCACAGCTAAAACAACTGCATGCTCATATATATCCCCTGCAATAGTTACATGATGTTAATTTTGACAAGGCAGAACCAGAAATTTTTGCAGCCCCAAAGTTCAATCTTGAGAAATATCTAGCATAACAATCCTTCATGTAGGCAGAGCACTAGTTATCACCATGAATCTATACCAGAAGGATATCAAGGAAAAACACTTCAATTTCTTCTAGAGGTTCTACATAAGATGATCTTCAGCAACAAGGAATTATCATAAATTCATAATTACGGATGAACATTATGATACATCAGTTTTTGTAAATTCCAAATTTTAATCAATGGCTAGCTGCCTAGCTTGCTTATCCATAAAATAGTTAAAGACTTAAAGGCAGTGTTTTTAAATTCTAGAATAATGTTACTTTAACACCTGAAAGTTTCATCACACTTATTCCCCCCTCTATCACTACGACCTCCTACGACACAGCCACTCCTTCCCTTAAACAAGAACATATTAAGTTCTGGAATAGCTATGATGCATACAACATATTGTAGTAGTAGTTCATAATTAAAAAAACACGTGTATTAAAGTAAGGGGAAGATCTTTATTGAAAAAAAAAAAAAGAATGCAAAAGTTCAAGCAAAAGCAAGCTAAGCTGTCACGACGCAACTAGAAAAGAGAACTTACTTGCAATTGTCAGCTCATGAACTGCATTTGGTATTTCTCCGAAAAGGGGAGGGAGACTCTTAAACTCAGTTAGCATAACCTGCAAAAATATGAAGTAAAGGCTAGTCAAATTAAGGAATAAAGCAAAAGCACACACGGTATTCAGAATTCCATCCCTTCTCTCCACTCAACTTCAGCAGAAAAGATCTGGCAGTATAGTAATGCATGTTTCCAGCTTATTACACAGCTTGCCTTTATCAAATTGGGATTATAAAGAATTACTATCCTATTATCCTAAACACAATGGATTAAGGAAAAGACAACCCAAACAAATAATTAAAACTTTCTGCTGAAAATTGTGGAAATTGTGCAAATCAATAACTTAATGGCATACAGAAGTCATTTTTAAATGCATCCCAATACACACATTACTATACACAAATGTGTATACATTGAGAAATCCTAGTTGTTAATATTAGCAAACTTCACAATAATGGCAATGTTTGCCAATTTTACTTGCATCCAACAAAATTTCAGCTAACAGTTTGGCTCCAATCTTGGTGAAATTTTTTCAATTCCAAGGTCACTAACCAATATACATCAACTAAAGGTGGGAAATTTTATGCATTATGAAAATAATTTTGGGTGAATTATCTGCCAAACCCAGCTCATATCACTTCAAAAAACACAGAAAACTACTTAAAAAAAAAAAAAAAAAAAAGAAAAAAAAAAAAAAAGAAAAAAAAAAAGAAGGACAATATCACACCATTCTAAGATCTAACCACGGAATTATTACATATAAAAATTAAAAATTAAAACACCACCTTGTCTTCAAAGTGATGTCCTAATCTGGTAAACAAACAAAAGTATTTTTAATCATCTCAAAGCAAAACTCAAGCTAATTGGCCATATGCTGAACAAAGTAAGCTAAAAGCAAAAGGCAACAGCAAACATAATATAACGTTTTATGGCCTGGGAACAAAGTGGAATGCTTTTAATTTGAAAATAAACGAACTGCAGAGTAAAAAACTAGGGTTTCAAATTGGAATCGTAGTTGGAAGTATTGTTACCTTGAGCTGGGAGAGAAGTCTGGTGCAGGTATCGAAATCGTTGCGCGTAAGAGCGGCTTTGAACCGCTCAAACGATTGAGAAACCTCCGTGAGCTTTGGATCCATCTCTCTCTAGCTTTCTGATCGGTTTTCTCAGCTTAGTTCACCCTTCGTCTTCGTCCCCAACGGCAAATGCTACTCTTCTTTGTCTACAAGAAAACTCGGCAACCCGTTTATAGCTGAAATTCTTTTCAGTATCTGATTTGGGCCAATCCCATTGATTGGGTAATTTGGCCCAATGTTTAGTATTCGACGGTTCGGTTCGGTTGGTTCGGTTTATCTGGGTAAATTATATCGTGCACCATAGTGCATAATTGATTATGCAACACATATTAAAACGACCTCGTTTTGTTTAAAGAAATGGCATTCATTTCCTGCCATTCCGCAAAAAGTAACTCTGTTATTCAGATTCATTTTGTATACACTATAGTTTCAGTTCAACACAACTACAGTTTCATTTTGATAGAACTACAGTTTCATTCAATATTTATAGACTCAAATATGCGAAAATGTTATTTAATTTTATTTTATATACACTATAGTTTTATTAAAACACAACTACATGATCATTTTGATATAATTACAGCTTCATTGTACAATATACACTCAAATATGTGAAATGTTATTCAATTTCATTTTATATACACTGCAGTTCACCACAATTACAGTATCATTTTTATATAACTGCAGTTTCATTTGATAATATAAAAATAATATGTAAGGCAAATTTAGATATACTATAGTGTCAATTTAAATACATTATAGTGTCAGTTGGTAATTAACATACAAAAAAATACGCGCTTACGCGCTCCGTTTATTTACTTAAAAAAAATGTGCACCGTGGTCTACGTTATTATAACGACCCGTTAATTTACCGTTTTGCCCAGCCCTAATTTCATCATCTCCAGCGAGGCAGCGAGCGACCTCTATGCAACAGACACAGTATTGAAGCTGAGCTCAATGATAATGGCGGCTTCTTCCATAATATCCCCAGCTCTCACCTCCACATCTTCCTCCTCTTCGAAACCACCATTGACCCACTCTCCCTCGCCTTCATTCCTCTGCTTCAAGATTTCCCCCAGACCCTCAAAACCTCTGCTTCTCCACGCAAGGGGTAAGATAGTCAAGGCTCAGACCTTGGAATTTTCGAATTCTTCTTTCTACGAGGACGGTTTGGGAGACGACGACGACCCGCCGAGTATACCCGGGTTGGGCATTTCCGATATTGAAGATAAAGAGGAGCCCCAATGCCCTCCCGGTCTCAGGAAGTACGAGACCATGGCGGTTCTAAGGCCCGACTTGTCCGAAGACGAGCGCCTCACCCTTGTCCAGAAATACGAAGAGGTATGCAACGTCGAAGCTCAATTTTTGTTACCCTAATTCGTGATTACATTTCTATTACTTCGATTTTTAGCTCCCAATTGATATTTCAATTCCGAAGGTTTTTAAATTCAAAGCTTAGCGTGATTGGGCATCAAAAATTGGATCTTTGACATTCCATTGCACATTTGAAGTTAGAACTCATGCAATTAAGTTCAGAAGGTCATTATAGTGTTCAAAAAGTGAAAAATATAGAGTAATTTCTAACATGAATCTTTGCATTGTGAATTTGAGAAGCTAAACATTTGTGCTGACCACCATTATTTAACTTCGAGTTCCAGGAGTTCTTGGTATAGTTTGGTAGTAGCAGTAAGCTATCTTCTTTTCGAGGAAGTAGGCGGTGTGTAAACCCTTGATTTCATTGGATCGTTTCACCAACGGTGATGTAGCGTAGCAATTAGCAAACGAAGGGTGTGGATGATTAGTTCATTATGTTACTCCCTATTTTGTGATGCTAGTAGAGAGTGATAAATGTTTGTTTTTGCGAGTTTTCTTACTCTGAGATTATCATAGGTGGTGTGCAACTGTGCATAAGGTTAATAAACATAAGGAAAGGTTTCTCAAGTGAATTGTTTCATTTAGCCGATTTATCATTTTTTAAGCTGATGATTATTTTTAACGAGTGTTTTGGTGTCTGACTCTTTTAATTTCCTAGCCCGACAGTTTATGGAGTTGGCCTTAATAGCGAATGGAGATGTAATAGACGATTGAAAAAATGCTGGGTTATTAGGTGGCCGTGCAATAAATATTAAACTATGTATCCTCAATATGGATTTTGTAAATCGTACCAAGTGTAATATCGGAATCCTTGGTTATTGTATCATGGCCTCATGGGAAAAATGCATTTTTCCCTCAATTGTTCATTGCTAGCCGTTTTAGTTCCTAATTTTTTAACATTGCAATATATACTCCTAACTCTTCAAAAAAGTTACCGTTTTAACCCTAGAACAACAAAACTATTAAACTCTATTAAATTTTTACTTAGTACATTAGTATTTTAAAATTTTATTATATTCATTCTTTATAACCTTTTCAGTTTTGGCATTTCATCTGCAAATTAGAGAATTGACAACCTTCTTTCCTAAATTTTTCCTCTTCAATTGTGGCACTTCGTCTATATTTTCTCCACACAAACCTGTTAAAATCAAGTTTTTATTTTATTTTATTTTTTTTTAATTTTATAAATTAAATATCGAGACTAAAGAAGATTATAATTAAAGAAGAAACATTAAAAAGTACTAAATTAATTACCTATGTACAAAGTAAAATTTGAATAGAGTTTAATAGTTTTGTTGCTCCAGGAGTTAAAACTGCAATTTTTTTGGAAGAGTTACGGGTGTATATTGCAACGATAAAAAGTTAGGGACTAAAATGGCTAACAAGGAACAGTTGAGGGACTAAAAATGCATTTTCCCTAGTATCATTGTTGAAATTAAAATTTATATGTTTGTGAGTTTGTCAAAACCTAGAAATCTGATTAGCGATTTTAATTCATCATCCATTTTCCGTATGATATAAATATAAATCTTCCTTCATACGTGTGTGATTTTACCATGCCCATGGACCTTTTTCTAATTAAAATTGCATAAATGAGCATTTGGTGTCTCTGCGGCCATTTCAATTATGCTTACTATAAGGGTTCCTTTCCCGTTTTAATCTGTGCAGTTGCTTGTTACTGGTGGTGGTATGTATGTGGAGGTGTTCAACAAAGGGATTATTCCACTTTCATACAACATTAGGAAGAAAAACAAAGCAGGAGAGACGAACATATACATGGACGGGATCTACCTCTTATTCACCTATTTTACCAAACCCGAATCCCTGACTGCCCTCGAGACTGCACTGAAGACAGATGACGATGTTATCCGGTCGTCAAGTTTCAAGGTTAGGAAAAGAAAGCACTGATTTGTCTCATCTGTGAAGATGTACAAGACAGTCACGTAAGGTAGAGGTATGTCTCTGATCTTTGCTGAATGTTGACGTGGAATTACAGAAATGAAAACATAGATTTTTCTCGTCTATTTAGCTGGTGATATATAGCTGCTGTAATATCATGCTACTGGTTTACCGTATAATATATTTGTTTTCCAGTGATTTTGTCGTTAGTCTACAGTTTGTGTCGATAACCCCTTGAAATTGTTAGCCTAATAATGTGCTGTGTTGATGTCTGAGATTATGGGATGTAATGTGCACACCAATTGCTCTTTCTGAAATGAGAGTGGTTTTGGTTGGCATCCTTCATCACTTCTCAACATTATGGTTTCTTAAATTGGAAAATAATTTAACATTTGCAAGAGCAGTTACAGTCTTATAGATAAAGATACCAATCTTAGCCCGAAACAATGAACTAACCCGATAAGCCCAATGGCCCGAATGGTAGCTAGCTTTATAGCCCAAGCCATTTAAGGCGAGTCGTTATGCTGTGGAACCGTGTCCACCTTGCAATGTGGACACGGTTCTATGTTCATAATTACTGAATTATATGTTCATAATTATGTTCACGACTCTATGTTTATAATTATAGAACTATATGTTCATACTTTTTGAACTATATATTCATAATTATGAACAATTTTGGAACCGTGTCCACCGCATAATTTGCTGCTATTCTTTGTTTCACAAGAGATATGAGACAAAATATATAGAGAATTTATATGTAAGCTCATTTTTAGTAAGAGTTATTTTTATTAAATTTGTAAATATAATTTTAATAAATTTTATTACTCTGTGCAAAATAAATTATTTTGTATGAAAATAAATAATAATAATAATAAAACTTATTTTAATTATTATTACATTATAGTATAAATATATTAATTATTTTTAATTAGAATTTAAAAATGAAAGTTTATATTGATTGAATGATGTGTAAGTTTATATTTATTAGTGTAAATGCACTAGTTTTTTAAAATTGAAATTCATAATGTTAATTTGAAAATGTCAAAAGTTTTTGTTGACCCGTCCGATAAGTCCGAAACTCGATTGAGTTAGTCTGAAACTAAACGGACTGGCTTGATTGACATCCCTATTTATAGATGATTAATTGAACAATCTTTCTAAGCTTTCTACTCCATTAATAACTTCCACTATTCCTTCAAGATAGATCATTCTAGCCATTGATATAATGGAACAAAGAAGGTGATGGAGCTCGAACTCTAATGGGCTATTTGGTTGAATGTAGTTGCAATTTAATTACAATGTTTTTGAAAATCTTGTTCATGTTTGTTTTTGGGAAAATTGCACTTTTTGTCCCCAAGTAATAGGGTAATTGTAGAATTCGTCCCTAAGTGTTGGTCATACTCACTTTTTATTCCTAAGTTATCATTGATGTTGCATTTTTTGTCCCTTTACTAATAAAACATTAGGGATGAAATTTACAATTTTAGTATAACTCACGGACGAAAGGTAAGCACAAAGGGACGAAAAGTGCAATGTCAATGATAACTTAGGGACGAAAAGTGAGCATGGCCAACACTTAAGGATGAATTTTACAATTACCCTATAATTTAGGGACGAAAAGTGCACTTATCCCATTGTTTTTTAATCATTCGTTAGTGTTTGTGTTCGTTAACGTTCGTGAATTGGTTTATGAACATGTTCGTTTGTTTGGTCAGTTAACTATGATCGTGAACAACTAAGCAACTTTGTTCACAAACACATGTTATGGATGTACATGTTCATGATCATAATTTGTTCATGAACAAGAAACAGTCCATGTTTACGAACAATAACCAAACAAACAACATAACTACATAAAAAATACTATTAAGTTCGAAAGTGACATCTAATATCAAAGTACAACCTAAAAGAAATCCTATTTGTGAACATTTTAAAATGAACACTAAACAAACATGTTTATTAATATTATTAAATGAACAATAAACAACCTTGTTCACAATCTCTTAGCAAACGAATATACAAATGTTCAGATTATATTTGTTTATTAAACATGCTCTGAAATTTGTTTATTTATATTCATTTACCTTAATAAGCGAACGCTTACTGAATATGAATACAAATAGTTTACCGAAAGCTGTATTCGCTTACACACCCCTACTAATGACTATTGTATTCACTTTCACTTTGAAACCATGGTGAGAAATGCCTTACATTTTGGTTGGGGGTTATAGTCATAGGACAGATAATTCCTTGATAACTGAAGCATTGCATTCAGGAATTAGGGTTCTTGTCAATCCTAAACCTGACCAAATCCTGAGAACAAGAAACAAGAAATCGCAAAAATGCATATAATCTTGGCTACTGTCATTCCAAACATTTCCAGTTCCAGTTACAGATACCCACCAAAACCCCAAAACATATATACAGGAAAACACAATTACTTCTCATCAGATATCAACAGATTCCACTGGTTCCCCTGCACTAGTTACTAATACTAAATCAGTTCTGCAGTGACTAAAATGATGTCTATTTCTTAGTTGTTCTGGAAACTGAGCCCCCCGCCGTCTAGCAAGAATAATAAGATCACTACTCTGATTTTCCCATTAATTTCGGTCTTGATGGCATACAATGAAACTCCTTCTCGAGCCCTACAAGAAAAATGTTCTACAAAGCCTGCAAACTCCCCGCCAAATGTGTTTTATTTACCATGGGGGAGAGAGCAAATAAGACTATAAGAGAATAACCTAAGGAAACTGACATCAAAAGTTGTATTTTCATTATCTATGTTCACCCTGATCACATAGCTTCTATGCCAGAACTCATTTTCTTCACATCAGCACTGGAACAGATAAGAATCTTTCTGACCACAGTACAGAATTCTCTGCGAAAACAATATGATAATTTTGTAAAATGATTTGATATTATAGGTTACGAAAGAAAGAAAAGAGAGAAACTCACAGCCATGGGTGATCGCCCATAAGCATCATGTCCCCCTCATCATCTGTAAAGACAATTTCCCATTTCTTCCTCGGGTGAAGCTCTCCCTGTATTTCAAACATCTCTTCGAGTTCATCTATAAGTTCATCGTATCCCTTTAGTGCTGTCAAGTCCACTGCACGACCCACTGCCACCCCTTGCATTTGAACCTTAAACGATTTCCATACGACATGAAGAAAGTTTGAGTGTCGTCATTTGTATATGTTCATAACTACTTTCTCAACTTACTGAAGCACAAAGAGTCAATACTGCCTCCACTGAGGCTCGAACCCACAACCTCCCATATGGGAGTGCAACTTGGTGCTACCAGACCACAAGGTCCTTGGCATAAACAGTTTATCTTTAAGCTTTTATACATACCTTGATGCGACTTCTAGTGGAGTAACCGAGCTTGTTTTTACCCTCCTTTGCTCGGCCAAGTGATTGTTGTTCTTGCTTCAAATCCTTGGAATGTACAGAATTGTCGGACTTTTGCTCCAAATCACCACTGCATGCTATCCTTGGAATCTCGGGGACTAAGACCACCGAGGTACTTTTCAAGTCAATACCAAACAATCTACAAGTCGAGGCAGTACCCAACTGTAGGGGCACCTGGCTCGAATAAACAGACCGAGCAGAAGCTGTTTTACTATCTTCAGTTTCATCAGCAAACACACTCAAAGAAGTTTTAACGTTAGAAGGCCAGACAGTCTCGGTGTGACTCCTTGTAGAGCAGCTGGGGCTGCCATTGAGGAGGGTGACACTTACATCTGATTGTCCTTGAGGTGTACCATTCGGTTGGGTTATATCAGATGATGCTTTTGACAAAGGTTCTAGCAAAGACAACGAGGATTGAAAGTGTCACTATAACTGAAAATTCGAGAAATCCCCGGGAAAGAGAGGGGCTCATCTTACCCAAAACAGTAGGTTTACTATGTAGGCGAGGCCTTTTGTTCTTCATTGCCACAGGTTGAGCGAGACTTGGTGGGATTGAAGGCACGAGAGGCTCAATCTCCCACGGAGAAACCCTTTCAGGTTTAGCAACAGGCGAGGGCTCATCCCATTGAACCTGGAAAAGAGAGGAGAAAAGAAAGTAAGAAAGTAATACATGGCTCTCCAAAAGAAGCCTCCAAACAATGAATACTAATTTCAACCTTCAATGATCTCCAGTCGGAGTCTTTCCACTGTGTGGAGATATCTTCAACCCCAACTATGGTTCCCATAAATCTGAATGAAAAGGCGAGAGGATAAAGAATCATCAAAAAGGGAGAACTTGCAATGAACATAAAACCGCTTATAGTTTTCCTCCTACCTTCTATCAGGCGAATCCTCTACTTCAAACCGCATCTTGAATCTCATGCCTACTGAAAATCCACGATTAATGGCTTCTTCGTATCTGTCCAAGCCTATTATGAACTGACTTGTTCTAAAAATATCGCCAAAGATACACAAAGTGTAAGAACATATGGAACCGAAAGAGTTGACATAAAGTCATGAGAAGTTAAGAACCGAGACATATATATATATATATCAAACCTCGGCTTGTAGTAGACAACAAACAGAGTTTGAGTTGTAACAGCGTGAGACGCTGTTGCAAGCACTCCTAGATGCATGCTTTGACTAGAAATAACCGATGATGGCATGGAGCTCTGTTGCGTAGCCAGACGCCTAACCCCAACTCGAAGTTCCCCATTATCTCCTCTAGAAGCACAAAGCACATTTATTGCAAGAATTGAAGAGAGGCGAGAAAGAGAGAGAGAGAGAGATGGGAGCATAAACACATACCTCAAGAACAGGAAAGAATCTCCTGCAACTAATCTCTTTGATGAGACAAAGGTACTCCATCCAGTTGTGAGCAAATGTCTTTTAGGTCGCCCTGCTTGTTCAAGAATTCAATAAATGATCACACCTCTTTCGGTTCTTTCATGGTGGTTGAAGCATAAGTCCAAAAGCATGCAAGTCTAAGAGACAATTACCTCTAAATATATGCTTAAAGTGCCATTTGACACCATGAAGATCCTTGGCTACCAAATCCTGACTCGGAGTGTCTTCATTCATGTCCTGAACAAACAACAATGGGCTCGAAACAAGTAACGAAGAATCAATGTGCTATACATACTTTAACAGCAGAGCAGGAAAGCCTACCAGGGGAGGAAGGCATTCAGTAGCGTGTCTCCTTAGAACAGAAAACCCGCCATGAGGGCTTGTATCTGATGCGGTTAGAACCTTGCAGAACGAGTGAATTTTGGGGCTTGGAGGCTCAGGGGGGCATGGATTCGGATTAGTTGCCTTCATTTGCTACAATAATCCAACCATACATGATACATATAAGTTTCCCCCAAAAGGAGGACAATATAAAGCAACTTCATATAGCTAAAACACTTTCAACAAGCAGGAGAATATAGTTAGAATGAATCAGCAAAACGCCAAAAGTAAATTATTCTTACCTCTTCTGGCATCAAAGTAATTTGGGCATAAACCTCATCAGTGTCCCGTTCAGCCTACAAACAAGAAGTCTTGCATGAACAATCTCCCAAACTATTAACTAAACAACTCAGATGCTCACACGACCAGTTCAGTTGGTTCTTGGGTAATAGATTGTGAGTTTAGATATAAGATCGAGTCCTGTCAATCAGGGGTGGACACCTTGTGGCACTAGGTCTTCCCACCTAATGGACCATTGAGTCACCGTGATTTAACCCCCACTATCTATGGGGTTGGTGTGGGGGGCTGGGTTAAGGGAATTTCGCCTTTTTGGGGAAGTTAAACAATTCAGGTTCACACAAGATTGATATAAACCAAATGTGACTTTGAAGCATTTCCCAAGAAACCAAACAGAAGCATGAACTTTGAAATGCAGGGAAAAGAGAACATTGAAACATATAACTTTGAAGAACAATAAGGTACCAGAAGGTGAATGTTTAAAACACGGCAAAGGATCTTCGACTGCAGAGGAAACATTGATATCCTCTGATCCATCGCTTGATTTGTCGATGCCTCCAACTACCAAAAAACAAGGGATCCAATACGTTACAATTTTCCAGAAATAGTAAAATACTCATATCAGGGAACCCAATAATTGAACAATGCTAAACTCTTTAGTACAAAGAAAGCACTAAAATTTAGCAGCCCGGAAAAGAATAGAAAATGCTAAATCCAAAATTGAACAGTATCAATCCTAAAATACAAAGTCAAGAAATCAACTTTAAAGCAACAATTTCAAACACAAAAAGGTTTTTTTTTAAAAAATTATATAAAATCTTACTTGTTCCATGTGACCTTGTGGAAAATAGTAAACCCATTCATCAGGTCTAGGAACATCCACCAATGGACCCGCGCAGAGCTTCCATAGATCATCATACAGATCATCCTTCCCTGAAGAAAATACCCAGAAAACATTTTCATCCCAACCAAGAAAATAAAAAGAAAAAAACAAAACAAAAAGACCTTCACCTGAGGGATTGCCATGCTGTCGCAGAGAAGAGGAAGAGGTTCTATCCACCATCATCATTGAAACAAAAAATGTTTTTATTTGAAAATTCAACAAATACCCAGAAATTCTCAAGCCGAATTCACCGCAGACTTAGCATTTATTCCATTCAATTCAATGGCAACAACCCGACAAATATTAAGAAGAACCCTCTAAACGGAGCAGCGAAAGACGCAAACTTTTCCCTCAAAATTTTGACCCTTTGCTCCCCCTTTACGTTACTACAGGCTTTCAGCTCAGCAAAGCTTGGCACCAGGCTGCAGCTTATTATAACACTGCCTTCTGTTCTGTCTCTCTCTAGAGAATCAAAGGAGGGAGAAGGGCAAAAGAGAGAAAGAAGAAGCCGCAAACGTTACAGAATCCCAAAAACAGGTTATTATACGCCTCGATTTGTTGCTTTCTCACTGAGAACGTGGTTGTCTGCTTTTTCACTGTAGTAGTAGTGTAGGGTGTAGTACTCTCCTCTCCTGTGATGTTTTTGCGCAGGTGGGTGGGAGTGGTTGTAACTTGTAACCAACCATGGTTAACTTTAACTATGGCGTACGTGTTGTTGTTAAGATGGGGACACTCTTGACGGCAAACTACACAAAGTTTTGCTAACGGCGTTAGCGCTAGTCGCATCTGTCCTTTGATTTGTCAACAACATTTATATATATATATATATAATACGGATTAAATGCAAAGGCTTCTCCATGTGAAAAATAGGGTGATATCTCAATCATTAATTAAATTCATATCAACTGTCCAAAATGAGTAAAATTTGGGGAAAAAAAATGTGGGGGTTGTTTGGTAAATTTATGTAAGTCAATGAATATTCTTCGAGTGCATAATTTTCCTTCTTCAAGTGCACATTTCCCCTTCTTCGAGTTCATAATTCTCCTTTTTCGTGTGCATAGTTTCCTTATTCCAATGCACATTGTAATGTATATATCCTTCTATATAATCTATATCTATATTCTATATATAATTAAAAGTAAAATCCTCCTTCTACCATTTTTCCGTCTAAACTAATTGTATTGGTCAAATTATTTAATTATGGTAGATAAGGGAATAATTAATTATGGTAATAGACATCCTAGAAGAATATGGAATAGAAGATCATAATAATTCATAATATTTCGTGTAATATTAATTACTCTGCCTTTTAATTATGTATAGATGTATAGAGTATGAATATAGACTAATACCCACATGGGCAGCTCAATTGATCATAAAGGTGAAAAGTTGGAAGAATTACCAGGGATTGAGTCTCACCAGCGACAGTGAGAGGGCCTTATTGGAAGAATGATTAATTAATGTGTATTCCTTGTAATTGTTAAGGAATATATATATAACTAAAATTTAATAATTATAAATTACACGCAATATTATGAATATAGAGTAAATTTAGAAATTTAGATTAACACAACTTAACATGAAAATAATAATACATAATACATGTGATAATAAGAATATCTAAAACTAATCAAATATTAATAATAAGAATAAGAATTTTAAAAGTTATTAATCGGTAATATTGCATAATTGTTAATATTCTATAAATCAGTCTATTTATATTCCCGCGGACTCCGATCCCAAGTTGTCTTCACCCAATCGTTTCAACCCGGTCGAGTTAAAGCTTGTCGAGTCATACCGAGATATCCCGACGCTGTTTTGGCACAGACTTCATACCAGCTTTTGTACGCCATTTTTATTCACGAGCTGGTTTTGTACACGTTCATGTGGAAACCATTGTTTGACTATTCTGACGAGGAAATTAAACATAATAATTAATAAATTAATTATGAAAGGACCGAATTACCCTTGAGAAAACGGCATTAGATGGCCAAGTTTAACGGAAGGACCATAGATGACTAGAAACAAAAACTAAGAGGACTAAAAGTGGTTGATTTAAAAGTTGAAGACTAAAAGTGACAGTGCCACCAAAGTCGGAGGACGTCTGTTGGTATTTACTCTCTATATATAATACAGATTAAATGCGAAAGCTTCCCAAATGAAAAATAGGGTGAGATTTCAACCATTAATTAAATCCAGATCAATTGTCCAGAATGAGTAAAATTTAGGGGGGAAAAAACGCGGGGCTATTTGGTAAAGTTATGTAAGTCAATGTATATATATATTTTTTTATTTCAAGTGCATATTTTCCATTCTTCGAGTGCATAATTTGCCCTTTTTGAGTGCATTGTTTTCTTCTTCAAGTGCACATTTTAATGTTTTTTTTTTAATTTTTACTTCAAATGCATATTTTTCTTCTTTGAGTGCATAATTTCCCTTTTTTGAGTGCATAGTTTCCTTGTTCTAGTGCACATTGTAATGTATATAATTTCTTTTTACTTCGAGTGCATAATTTTCCTTCTTTGAGTGCATAGTTTTCTTCTTCCAGTTCACATTGTTTCCCCATCGTTGGTTGTCTGTTTTAGTCTCCATAGCTAGTTGAAACCTTAATTACCAACTATTACAGGTTACTAATCAAATTTTGGCTTTGATGGCTCGATGCACGAAAATGACATATTAATGTGCTAATTTATAATTTTTAAAAATTTAATGGTCTAATTACCTTTTTATACAAAGTTCAGAAGTTTATATGACTATTTTTCTTAAAAATTATAATTTCATTTTCAATCTAATTGATATACATCACATCAATACAATTTTATTTTTTTTTAAATGGAAGTAAAAAATAAAGATTGTGTGTAATATTACTTTAGAGTTAATTATTGTAATTACTGATATTATGTAAAAATTTTAAAAAATAAATTAAATCATCAAAGTATAGCTATAATTATCAGATTCGTAAATTTTGATGGTTAATGTTTTATTTAAGATTTATACTTTCTAGAAATTATTGATCATCTTTTTTTTTAAAGGAATATTATTTTAAAATTGAAAATTCCGAAATGCCACATAAAACTTCCTAAAGACAAAAAGAAAAAAAAAACAAAAAAAAAAAAGAGGAATATCCTAAATATTGGAACCTCATATACCTAATCCTAACGTTAACGGAGCAGAGGAGGTTGTCGTTAGGGTGACGGGTTCCCGTTTTATTGGCTGTCTGTTACGCGGCAGGCAACAGGGTTGGCTCACGTAAATCCGGCAAAGAATTTTTTTATTTTTATTTTTTTTGCATTTTCTTCCCTTACGAGGTTTTAGTGTTTTTTTCCAAAAATAACTATTTCTATATTAATTATCTATTGGTGATATTTTTAATGAGTCTTCAGAAGTGGTACTACTATTCTGACCTGCCGGTGACTGTACGTTCCTCTTTCTTACAATCACAGCCATACAACTTTCCAGTCGTGTCATCATTTGCGTGGGCTCTAGCCAAGCACGTGACATCTGAGAGCTGCTAACCTAAAGTACAACACTTCCGTTCAGCAATTTTTTTTTTATTTAATCATAATTTTGTTGGATCAATAAATTAGAATCACTGCACAATGAGAATGTATCTAATAAATGGATGCTTTTAATGTTAGGTAGTTTATAAATATATTGAGAATTTTAAGTATCAGGCATGATTATCAATGGCTCAAATAATATATTGACATTGTGGAATAAAAATATTATGTTATATTAGTATGCATTCTATTACTTATTAATCAAGAATGTTGATTATTTGATGATTAATAATGGTGGTTTTATGTTTACTTATTGAAAACAATTAATCTTCTTTGTTTTGATTCATACTTTATTAGATAAATTCTTCAATTCTGAGATTGATTAATATAGGTCCTGGTTGGTAAAATGGCTGTTATTAGCTGATAGCTATTAGCTGTTAGCTGATTGTGTTAATTAGATGGTATAAATAGTTAATAACATTAGTTGATTTTAGAAAAGTGTTTGGTAAATTAGCTGTTTGCTGATAGCTATTTGGTATAATTTCTTTTCTCAAAAAGCTAATTGAAAAAGTTGCTTAGAGTACTTTTTTTAATTTTAGCCTTTTGGAGTTGCAAAAAGCTAATTAACCAAACATCTATATTGATATTTTAACTAAATCAAACAATTAATAATGGTCAAATAAGCCAAAATTAGCCTATAGGCCAATTTTTTACCAAACAGGCCCATATTAATAAGGTCAAAATTAGCCATTAAACGCAACCTGAAAATGAAATTAGGTCACTGAACGAAAAAAAAAAAAAAAGTGTAATTAAGTCACTGAACACCCCAAATGTATGCAATTTTACCGGATAGCAGGTTACCATCCATTTCGTCAAATTATCTACTTACGTGGATGGTGAATTGACATTTTTAATAATAAATTTTAAAAATAAAAATTTAAATATTAAATATTAAAAAATAAAATAAAAAGGAAAATGTAGGGGTGGCCGCCGGCCACGCCCTTCCCCCCTCCTCCTTCGTCTTCGGTTGAGACGAAGGAAGGGGGAAGGGAGTAGCGTGAGACGAAGGACCTGTCTCACGCCACCCGCCTTCCTTCGTCTCCGCCGGAGACGAAGGGCGGAGACGAAGGGCCTGTCTTCATCTCCGATCGGGGACGAAGACAAGCTCTTCGTCTCAAACCAGAGATGAAGAATCCTCTTCGTCTCCACCAGAGACGTAGGAGGATAGGGGCGGGGAAGGGGTGTTTGGTGGACACCCCGCGTTCTTTTTTTTTTTTTAATTTATTTTTAAATTAATTTTTAATTGTTATTTTTATTTTTAAAGTTTATTATTAAAAAATATTAAAAAGGCAACACAGCAAGCAACTTGATAAAATTGGTGGTAACCTGTTATCAGGTGAAATTGCATACATTTAGTGTATTCAGTAGCCTAATTGCAGTTTTTTTTTTTTGTTCAGTGACCTAATTGCATTTTCATGTTATGTTTAGTGGCCGATTTGGACCTTATTTCATTAATATATGATAATTTTAAGAAAGTTTATGTAAAATTGACTTTGGATTTCAAAAATTGGGAGATCTTCCCAAACAATAGATATTGGGGTATCAATAGATGTTCTCATACGATATTGATAATAAAGTTTTGCCTGTGACCGGTATACTAAATCAACAAATTCCTTCATGCATACAAGTTTATACTAGACAAGTTTACTAATGAACTAGTAGATGTTTGTATACTTGTCTGATATACTAATTTATTATAGGGATAAGGATTAAATAGACCCTCTAACTGTATACCAAAGTGCAATTAGTCTCTCAAAATTTTTTTTTTTTTTAAAAAAATTCAATTAGACCCTTAAACTTGTTAAAAGTGTGCAATTGACGATGTGGAATTCTGTTTTGTAAAGCGATTTGCGAATCGTGCCGCCCACACTGTTGCTTGGGAGGTCGTTTCTGAGTCAGGTTGCGGGGAGTGATTTGACATTTTCCCTTCGTTTCTTGTTGATTGTCTTGCAATGGATTTAATGAATTAAGTTTTGATCTTCAAAAGTGTGCAATTAACATTTTTAACAAGTTACCAAAAAATAACTAGTTAATTTTGGAGTAAAAGACATTTTTGGTCCTAGACTTATAGTGGCTTGGACAATT